TAAAGAAAAAAATATATATATAATATATAATTTCATCTTTATTGATTTAGGCGTGAATGGGTTGTTGTTGTAAGCCGTTGCGAGTGTGGGGGAAAGCGGTTAGCGTGATGGTTTTTTAGTAAAACCATCAAGGGATTTAGTTAATTTTTGAAAGTTAAAACCTACTCACACATATCCACAATAAATAATGCCAATAACATGGCTCGAACAAAATGCATATTGGTAAACAAGGAGTTTAATTTGGAGGAAGGAAAGTAGGACTTCTAGAGAAACAAAAAGAGAGAGAAATCAAGAAAGATGAATACATGAATACATAGTACACAATAATTTCAGATATATATAGAGAGAAATCAAGAAAGATGTTGAAATCATCTCCTTGAGGGATGGAGATTGTTGGAGTGGACGGTTATGATGCATTAAAATAGATGACCAAGATCAAGCATCACAAGACTCCATCAAAATATCTACAAAATTTAAAATTCTATTATTCTCCACAACCCTCTTGCGATAATATCTTTCTTGATGTCTATAGAATTAAATTCCTTGTCGAAAAATTAACACTTCCTAAGATTTGTAGAAAACCCATTTTCATTCAGGAACTCATTAAGGCAATAATTGAAAGGAAAAAAAAAGAAAAAAAAAAAAAAAAAAAAAGGAGGAGGAGAAGTTAGGCCTTGTTAGGGATGGCAACGGGGGCGGGTTTGGGCGGGTGTACCCTCCCCTCCCCCACAACCATTTAAAAACCCCGCCCCCGTTCCCGCCCAAAACCGCAAAAACGGGAGTACTTCTCACCCTATCCCTGTAACCGTTTAACATTTTTACTCCCGCGGGTACCCGCCCCGCCCCGCCCTGTTTAAAACCATAATTTATTTATTGTTGAAATAGATTTACTTTTTTTTCTCTTCCTCTCATCTTCAATTATTCACCATTGCAAATTTTATTTTAATCAAATTCATTTTTTACGTTAATATTGTTATATAGGGTACTTAATATATAATGGGAAATATATATACTAATGAAATGTGGGTATTTAAGTAATTTACCTATCTAAACGGAGCGGGGCGGGGCAACCTTTCCCCGCCCCCGCACCAAACTCGCGCGGGTTTTTATTATATCAAACTATCCCCGTCCAAATAAGCAAAACGGTCCCCCAAAACCGCCAAAAACGGTACGGGGTGGGACGGATAACCGCGGGGACGGGTCAAATTGCTATCCCTAGGCCTTGTAAATGGCCGTGTTGTTTAAGAGTCACTCCCATAATTATTAATGGTTATATTTGCCTTTGACTCGTTGGAGACAAAAGTAAACTTCTCTTTTTTCAAATATGACAATAATGAAAACTGCATTCAAAAAAGATTTGAAAAAAAGTTGTTTTAAGTCGCATTTATTTGTCAAATGTGCTCTAATAGTTTCGGAAGATGCGTGACACCACTGGGTTGTTCTCGGGATTTTCTTATTTTCGTTTATTTATTTTAATTTTCTCTTAACAATTCAAATCAAAATAAAGATTTGACAGTACCAAGTTCTTATAACATAAAAATAGTGAAGTGTATTATTTGACAAACAATCATATCTCGTAAAATTTTAAGGGCTTATTTAGTGTGCGTTGTCTTTTTGAGTTTTTGATCTAACTCAAAATAAAACAAATGTCTAATTGTACAGTACATGTTTTGAATACTAATCCAAAGCATGTATGGTAATATGGGGTAATTACACTTACCTCCCTGGGGTTAGGCCTAATTACAGGCGGTATCCCTAACGTTTCAAATATTACACTGACCTCCCCCCAAACTGATCGACATTTTATTCCGGCCATTGACCATGTTAAATAACTAAAACACCCTTTAATATTTTATTAATATCACATAAAGAATATCTTTGATTTGAAATTACTAATTTGCCCCTAATGGTTTTGGAGGGAAAAAAACTGACGGCTAAGTCCCATCATCTGCAACCCTTTCATTTCACTCATTATATCAGGCAACCCATTTATTTCCTTTTTTTTATATCACATAACCATTTTATTTCCTTTACACATCTCACACAGCCGGTTCGAGAGAAAAATAGAAGAAAGAGATGGAGAAGCATAGAGGTGAAGAGTTTGATGCGTTGCCTTTCAAACCCTAGATTTGTAAAGACTTTGATCTTCTGTTCTCTTTGCTAGCCGTTACAGAACCCATAATCGTCCAACAAATAGGCATCGGTGTAATATTTTTTCAGAAGCACGCATCGCTGGTGAAGGTAAGCCTAATTTTTTGAAAAAAATTAGGGGTTTTGTTATTCTTGTTGAGGTCTTAGGGTTTTTGTTTTAAAGATATATAATAGGTTCCTGTTCATTGCTATTTTGTTATGCATGTCTATTTTCGCAGTGATTTTTAGAGTTTTTGTTATAGTTTTTCATGGTTCGGTTCGTTTCTGATATATATATATATATATATATATATACACACATTACCTAATTTGTATTCTGATTTTGCCATATTAATATGTAACGAGTATAGTTGTTTATAGAATGAAATATTTTTTTTTTTTGGAATCTGGATTTTTTTTATATGCATCGTAATTTTTTTTTTTGAATTTGGATATTGTTGGATAGGTTCTTCGACAAGACATAATTAACACTTATATCTGGTATGTAATTATTGTCAGAGATTTTTTTTACGTATCAACACTTAATTATATCAGTTGTTGGATAGGTTTTTTTTTATATGCATCCTATTTTTTTTATTTATAATTTTTTTTTTTATGCAACGTTGTTTCATAATCTGGATTTTTTTTTCTTGTTTACAGTATAGTTGTTCACAGTGTTTGGTTTCTAAAATTTTAGTGAAAATTACCATATTGAAATAATTTAGTGAAAAATCATTATATATATAGAATTTTTTTTTTTGCTATATTGATATGTGTTAAGATTACCATATTGAAATAATTTAGTCAAAATTCATTACATATATAGAATTTTTTTTTTTTTCTAAATGTTTTTTGTATTTTATATATATAATGAATTTTGACTAAATTATTTCTATATCTTTTATTTTAGATTACCATATATATAATGAATTTCCACTTACTGGATTTTTTTTATAATTATCCTAATGTTTTTGTGTTTTGATTTTTCCATATTAATATGTGTTAGACTGAGAAAATTGTGCTGTTATTTTGAAATATGCATGTGATTTTGTTATATGTATCCTAATGTTTTTTCTTATGTGGTATAAACAGATGGCAGATTCTGAATTGCATGACATTATTGTGCACTACAAGTCCACTGTGAAAGGAATTTATAATATTGACCCTGATAGGTACTGTTTTATTGATTTGATGGATGATGTTTTACAAGTGTCTTTAGAAAATTTACCTGCACAATTAGGAGTCTCAATTATCATGCATTGTGATTTGTCTGGGAGTAATGAGAATATGGTAGTGCAGAGTGATGCTGATATGTTACAAATGTTTAGCTTGCATACTAATCCTTATAAAAAATTTGTTCATGTTCATGTTGAGTTAGAAACTGTTGAAAATTTAAACATGGTATGTGAGAAGAATGGTGCTGTGAGGGATGATGAAAGGGATGGTTGTCCAAGGGGTGCTCATGTAAGTGGTGGTGAGAGGGATGGTGGTGAGAGGGGTGGTAGGGTAAGGGATGGTGATGAGGAAGATGGAGATTATATATTTGGTTTCAGTTCAGAAGATGAGGAATGGGAAGATGAAAATGAAGCGTATTCTAGTGATAGTGGACTAGTAGATGAAGGTACTATGGGGGGAGTTCAAATAAGTAGTGATGATGGTTTGTCAAATTATGGTTCAGGGGATGAATGTGGATCAGAATCAAGTATTGAAATATTGGGTGATATTGATAAAGAAGATAGGGCTAAGGTTAAAGCATTTGATCAATGTTTGTTTGGGATAGAATTTCATAGAGTTCCAGGACAAAAGATAGAGCTAGTAAAAGGTCACCTATTTGACAATATTAAGAAATTTAGGGAATTGTTGAGGGATTATGCAATTCAAGAGTGTTTTAAAATGGTTAGGAAAAAAAATGAAAAAGTTAGAATAAGATGTCATTGTGCTGCTACAAGTTGCCCATGGATGATACATGCATCACCTCTCTTTGATAAAATCACCTATCAAATTAAAACAATAAACAAAGAGCATACTTGTGTGAAGGAGAGCACTTCTAGGGAAGCAATATCAACACAGATTGCTATGAAGTTTGCAGATAGGATAAGAGAGAATCCAGAGATTAAAATAGCATCTTTGGGAGCTGCAGTGAAGACACAATATGGAATTGAACCTAGTAGAATGCAATTGTATAGGGCAAAGAGGAAGGCACTAGAGGAAATCGGGGGTAATCATGTTGAAGCTTACACATTACTTCCAGCTTATGCAAATGAAATTGATAAAACAAATCCAGGAAGCTTGGCTAAAATTAAGAGGTTTAGGGCAAATTTGTATGTGAACCCAGTCTTTAGCAGAATTTTCATCTGTTTTGAGGCACTGGCCACTAGTTTGAAGAAAGGATGTAGACTATTTATTGGTTTAGATGGCTGCCATTTGAAAGGACCCTATGGTGGTGTTCTACTTGCAGCCACTGCACTAGATGGCAACAATGGCCTTTTCCCAGTGGCCTATGGTGTTGTGGAAAGTGAAGGAAGGGAAAGTTGGGGTTTTTTTTTAACACATCTGCAGACTATGATTGGTAAAGATTTTGAGGACAACCCATGGACTTTCATGTCTGACCAACATAAGGGTTTTTTATATTGAATGTTTTTTAATTTTTATTTTATTGTCTTTGGTAAATTTAATTATTGGCACTGTTTTTACTATTTTTTATATAGGGACTGAATTCTGCAATTTCTTATATCTTTCCTAAGGCCCACCATAGATATTGCTGCAGACATTTATTTAATAACTTTAAAAAGAAGTACCCTGGTTTGTTGTTAAGGAAGTATTTTTGGAGGGCTGCAAGAGCTTACAACCAAGCTAACTTTGATATTGCCATGGGGCATTTGAGGAATCTTAAAGAAGAAGGGTATAATAATTTGATGGAATTGCCTGTATCATCATGGTCTAGGCATGGGTTTGATGAAAATGTGAAAAATGATCATGTCACAAACAATTTAAGTGAATCATTTAAAAATTGGGTTGGTGCACAAAGAAATAATACAATTCTGAACATGTTAGAATGGTTTAGGATGCAATTGATGGGTATGATTCAAAAGAGGTATGAGGTGGCATGCAGTTGGCAAACAGTGGTGACTCCTAACATTAGGAAGAGGTTGAACCAACTCATAGAGGAATCTAGACAATGTAGTGTCATCTTTGCTGGAGCAGATGAATATGAAATAATGGATGAAACTGGTAGAACTGTGGTAAACCTTGGTGCTAGGACTTGTGTATGTAGGGCATGGCAAATTTCTGGCCTCCCCTGCAAGCATGCAGCTGCTGCAATGGCTTACAAGAGAATGAATATTGAGCTATTTTATGATGAAAAATTTAGTAAGCATGCTTATTTGGAAGCTCATGGGGGAATGATACATCCCATAGTTGACTCAAAACTATGGCCACCTGCTCATGGTGATCCACTTGATCCTCCTCCACCTTATAGAAGGCCTGGTAGGCCAAAGAAAAATAGAAGAATAGATGCAGATGAACCTACAGCATGGACTAGTCAAGTGAGAAGGTCAATGACCATAAGATGCATGATTTGCAAGGCTCTTGGACATAACAAAAGAACATATCCAAAAAATACAAATAAGGTCCAGAAGGGAAGTTCTTTAAAAGCTGCAAATGCAAGTGGTCCAAAGGGAAGTTCAAGCACATCTCAGGTAATTTTATTATCTGGTTTAATTTAATTCAGTTTTTTAATAAAAACTGAATTAGTCTATACCATTTCTTCTTATGTTTTGTTTGTTTTTTAATATCAGAGAGTTAGGAGGGGGGTTTATCACAGCCCTTGGATGCAAGCAGTTCTCAACCCCAACTTGGTAGAGGCACAACTCAAATGGTAGCTTTTTATTTTTTTATTTTTTTCATTTACAGATTTACTTTATTGGTCATACAATTATTTGAAATTGTTGTGATTATTTGACTCAGGCAATTAGAAGTGGGAGGGGTGGTATAAGCAGTTCTCAACCCCAAGGTGCTACATGGAGTTTTAGTGCAAGCAGTTCTCAGCCCCAACTTGGTAGAGGGACAACTCAAATGGTAATTTTTTTTTTTTTTTTCATTTTTTCATTTACAGATTTACTTTATTGGCCATATAGCTATTTGAAATTGTTGTGTTTGTTTGACTTAGGCAGTTAGAGGTGGGAGGGGTGCGTCTATGTCTCAGCCCCAACTTGGTAGTGATACCTCTTCTGACATGGTAAATTATAGTGTCATGTAAATTTTAGTTATATATTTCATTTCTTCTTCTTCTTCTTCTTCTTTTTTTTTTTTTTTTTTTTTGAACTCCATTTATTTGTTTTCCACAGGCAATGTGGTAACTATCATGCTGTTTCAATCCTTCTGGCCTCCCCTGAAGAATGTTTTTTGTGTTCTTATTTGGAGCATATGTGGATAACTACCTGTCACTTTTGATGTTACTATTTTGTTTTGATGGCATGTGGACAAATGTTTACTCATAGTTAGAGTTGCATTTGGAGCATATGTGGATAACCCGTCACTTTTGGGAAACTTTGCTTGCTACTTGTTGACAATTTTTGGGATATTGTTGAATAGGTTCTTGGACAGGATATAATTACATACTTATACTCATGGGTCTTGGGTATACTTTTGGTTGTTTTGTGTATGTAATGAAGTGGAGACAGTTGGATTGAACTATATATAAGCTTTTGGTTATTTTTTGCATGCCATTGTGTTTTGCAATGGAGTTCATACTATATAAGCTTTTGATTATTTTTGCATGCCACTGTGTTTTGCAATGGAGTTCATACTATATAACTTTTATATTTCTTCTTAATAGACTTATATTGCTTCTAGTTTATATGGAATACATAAGTGTCATATTTCTTCAAAAACAGACTTACATTGCTTCTAGCTCATATGAACACATAAATGTCATATTTTTTCTTAACATAGTACAAACTTAATAGCTACTAAAATGTTTTTAACAAGGCTAAGAAAGACAACAACAAAGCTGCAATAATGAACATCTTCATTTGTCCATTTTTTGCTTCAATCAGATCCAACTGCCTATTCATCGCTTCATATTGGTCTCTCAGATAAGCAGCATCATCATTCAGTTGAACTTCACCATCTTGATTTGTAGATGATTCATAACCACCTATTGTACCAATGGGGTTGCACCACTCCCATAATGAACATTTTTTTCTTTCACATGTATAATACAACTTCCCTTTGTTGTGATAAGTGTCGTAAATTGTAACCCTTATTGCAGTTGTTACACCACAATAACAAGTCATACTATTGTACCTCAAATTCCTTGGAGCATTGCCTTTTGCAATGTTTGAGCTTGACTGTGACATCTGGTTAAGCAATAATGAAAAGGAAAAATAAAATAATTAAATAAAATCACAAAATATGAGAGATGGAGGGAAAAACTGTAACTATATATATATATATATATGTATGTATAGAGAGAGAGGGAAATAAAATCATATATATTTCATCATATATATATATATATATAGCAGACCTTGAAGGAGACCTTAAAGGAGAACAGACCTTGAAGGAGTAGCAAATCTTGAAGTACCAATTCTTATGTGGAGGGAGAGCCTTGAGGGATTAGCTTCACGTAGAGAAATTTTAGAGAGAGAATTGTTAGAGAGAGAAAGAATGTAGTATTATGTAGAGAGAGAGTGGGCTTATAAAGAAATCTACAAGGGCTTTTTTGTCTTTTTATTCTAGGTATATAGGTTATTTTAATACAAAAGTAAGGGTAAAAATGTCTTTGCAAATATAGTAAGGGCAAATGTGGTATTACATGGTTAAAAAGTGCTGATGTCATCAAAAATTATCATTGACTGGCGTTGACTTTCACCGGAGGGGGCTAAGTGTTACGATGGAACAAACCTTAAGGGAGGGCAGTATAATATTTGAAACGTTAGGGGTACCGCCTGTAATTAGGCCTAACCCAGGGAAAGTAAGTGTAATTACCCCATGGTAATATCTATTTGTACTAAAATTTTTGAAAGTAAAATTATAAAAATATGTTTGGCAAAAAAGTATTGTAAGTTCCTTTAAAAAAATAAAAAATAAAAAAATAAAATAATGTGTTGCAAGTTTAAAAATAGAGCATAACTTATCTTACAAATGTAACTTAATTACTCAATGTTTGTGGTACCGTCTTGGTTGTCACATCCACTGTGTATCATATTATTTGTATTCTTAAATTCCTAAATATTCCCGCTTAACATACGCTACCAATTCTTTTACCAAAGATTTGTTGCAAACTTAATAAAAGTGATTTTTACTATGACTTTGAGGTGAGTCCATATTGAAATTGCTTCCAGGTGAATGAGAATTGAGTTCATAAAGAAATGTTTGATTATAAGTTAAGCAGGTGAAAATGAGTTTGTGGGAAATAATTCTCACATTAAAAAGAGAAAAAATAAACTATTAAAAGAAAATTCTGATTGGGCCTGAGCTTATTGGGCTTTAAACCATTTAGTGTATGGGCTAGTCTAGAATTACGTAATCTTCCAAAACCCAAAATGAATTGGGTCAAATGGTTCGGGTAAATGGCTATAATAGGTGCTAGCAAGACGGCTATGGGCCATATGGGCACAGTTATTGCCTGTATGAACCATTTTTAAAAAGAAAATAAAAACTCTTTTTAAAATTAGTTAAAAATTGAATAGAAACACACACATGGTTTAAACACACAAAACATAATGGTATAATATAGATATAGGTATAATTTTTTCTTTTTTTTTTTTTTTTTTTTTTCCATTAGTTAAAAACACACAAAACATAATGTTTAAACACATAATGGTTTAAACATAAAACAATTAAAAATGTTGATTAATAAATATTAGGTGTGCAGGAATGGATTGTCCGTTGCAACTATTTCTTTATTTATTATATTATTTAAAGTGAAAATGAGTATTCCATTGGGATGAAAATTCATTTCATAACTAAACTTATAGAATGATCATTTCATTCCCAAGTAATTTAAAAAAAAAAAAAAAATTCAACTTTCCAAAAAACCCTCATGTTCCAAGTCCAAAAACAACCACCACCACTAACCCCCTCCCACCACCACCATTGCCTTCTACCGCTACCATTGTCTTCTCCACTACTTTCCACGACTATGGACTTTACCACCACCACCACCATCACGGACTTTCACCAATGTCACCGCCTTCCACCACTATCACCTTTTACCACCACCACCGTCATTGCCACCCCCTATCACCATTATCGCCTTTATCGTCACCACCACCCACCTCATTGCCACTTTCCACCACTGCCACCGCTGTCAATGCCACAACCACCATTATTGCCGCCTTCCACCACCACTACACTATCGCCGCCTTCATAGGCTTCCACATACCACTACCACCACCGCTACTACCTTCATCCACCGCCACCCACTTCCTCCACTGCCTTCCATATTCCATCACCACCGCCACTAACTTTGTCCTCCACCACCTTGTACTGGCGCCACTGCCACCGCTTTCCACCACCACCACCACCACCACCATCACTGCCAGTCTGTCACTTCCACTGCCTTCAACCACCACTACCACTGTCACCTCCATTGCCTTCCGCCGCCGCCGGCTTCCACCACCATCGCCACCACTAACTTTCACCACCACAACCATCTTCCACCATCACCATCACCACCATTGCCACCGCCATCGCCTTCAACCATCGCCACCGCCACCATCCACTACCGTCTTCCACCACTACCATTGCCCTTCCACCACCGCCATCTCTTTCCACCATCACCGCCACCGCCTCCCACCACCACCACCGCCACCTCCACTGCCTTCTACCACCACCGCCGCCGCCACATTACTACCACCGTTACCGCCTTTCACCATTGCCGCCACCACCGCCGCCTTCAAACACCACCACCTACACCACTACTGCTTTCCACCTCCACTACTATCTTCATCGCTATCCACCACCACCGCCATTTCTTTTTGAAAAATTATAGAAGAATGTTATTTTGATAATTTAATTTATTTGTTAATAAGAAGGATATTTTAGAGAATTCATTCTGAAATTCATTTCATTTTAAATTTTAAATTGGTCCAACCAAACACTAGACTTGTTATTATCATTCATTCCAACATATATATTTTATATTTGCAATCAAATAATAGAATGATCGAGAATGACCATTTCATTCAATTCTCATTTTATTTTCACTTGCATTCTATTTTATTCTACACACCAAACACAATATAAGTTTAATTTTTTTTATTAATGGAGGCGAGACGATCAGACTCCAAACGTTGTAAAAGAATCTAACTACACCTTTTAGCCCAATAACAAATGTATTAATGTTATAGGCCCAACTTCCAAATCTCGCTATAGCTTCTAAGCCTAATAAACTCCTCCATACGTTCAAAGGTTAAAATGGAAATTAAAATATTACTCTATGTCAAAGATCTGCAAAAAGTAATTTTAGAAATGTTTCACATATTTTTTAAAAACATGAGAAATAATAAATCATTTTTTAAAATATGGAATAAAAGTATTCTGCGTAGTATTATATGATAATGGTGCTTCCGCACTTAACCCATATATATATACTTACTTATATGACTCTATGGTTGGAAGGTGGTGGTGTGGATCGTACTTGCGATGGTCGGTGGTAAAGGAAATGAGAGAGAAAAAGTGAGACAAAGGAAATATATATATAATATTTTACTGGGTAAATGTTAGTGGCAAAAGGGTCATTTACTATTCTTAGATATTTTGACTATTTTTAATAATATAATAATAAGGATAGATAAATAAATTCATCACAAAATCTGATATAGGGGTCTTTTTTTCAAATAATAATAATAATAAACAAACCTTAAATTTATTTACAATTATACCAAACCTTTGAAAAAATCATTATAATTAATCCTAACATAAATAAACCTATACAAACTCTTGTTATTGAGTCCAATCTTTTTGATTTGGCTCGTTTATTAAATAAGTTTAAAAACCGTGTTCAAAACTTAACGAATAAATTATAACCTTAACTTTGAACAAAGTCCAGCCCCAACTATTTTTTAAACCGTTTGATTAATTTGCAGCTCTAGCTAGTTAGAGACTTACTAGTACACTACTGATGATTCCATCAAAACACAGATGTGTTGTCGGAAGTCCATAGTCATGAGCCATAATTGATCAAACTTCTTTTATTGGATGAAATTGATTTCAACTGACATCTTAATCAATGGATGAAATTAGACAAACAAACAATGGTGACCATCCAAATAATTCTTCAACAATGTAAACATTTGCATTAACAGTCTTGTGTTTCCTATATTGTTACAACCAATTACAACAACTGATTTTTTTTTTTTTTTAACTACTCACAAGAGCCCCTAGCTGAAACTCGTGGTTCCCAAACAACAGAAGTCGACAGTCTTTCATTGATTCCCAGTTTGGTTGGAATTGAAAGGAAAAGAAAATAAAAGAAAGGTAATGGAAGAAAATGAAATATTATGTTTGGTATGAATTTAAAAAAAAAAAAAAAAAAAAAGGAATTCCGAAGGATACAAATTATACATGAGGTGTTAGTTTTGTTATCCTCCTAAAAACGAGAGAAAATGGAAGAAAAGAGAAGGAATGGGTAGAATTTTAAAAGAAGCTTTGTTAATACCAAATTTGTCCTTATTTGTATATAAGACAAAATATATATAAAAAAA